GTTTTTTACCCGCTGTATCGAATTAAATGCCGAGACTAATTAATGCGGCATTGTTTGTAGCAGCTCTGTAATTTTTTTTTCATTCCACAACACTGCAACAAGCCACAAGCCATTGCCTGCAACACTGCGGCAAGTTCCCTATGCGGCTTGGACTTCTTCTTTTTATTATGTATGGATCATTGCCGCTAGGATATTTCTTCCTAAAACAACTCTATATTTTTGTTTCCAACGGTGCTAATTTTTTTCTGCGGCCTTTGATTTATTATATATATATTGCTTAACGGTAATAGACTTCCCAGTATAGTAAAGTTGTTTCTCCCAAAACATATCCGATTTTTTCTTCACCGGTATTGTTTTGGCGATCTCTTTTTTTTTTGTACAACATTGTGTATCCTTCCAACGATGTTGAAAAAAGAGAAAACAACACTGCTTGTCATTTTTAACTATTGCCAACGACGTCGTGGCTCCTTAACAATGCTGCTTGATTATATTTTATAATAATAATTTTTCTTTTTTTTTGTTTTTTTAATATATTACGTGGCCTCCTAAATTATCCATATTTTATTTATGCAATAATAACTAAACCAAAACACGGTCGACTTTGGCATAAATCATCATGCCAAAAGTCCACACCCACTGCCAACTCCATTGATCAAACCAAACAAGCCATCCATAGATCCCGTGACTATTCACAACTGGCTCCACATGCTTTGGCTTAGAAATTTTCAAGTCAACAGTGGATTCCAAATTTCCAGCTCGTCTTGCTCGAATATACTTGTTCAAAATTCCACGAGCTCGATTTGGCTTTATCTCAGCCATCTGTTTTGGTCGGTGACAGGTATTCTTCGCTCTCGGCAAGACTTCCACATTTTTTGGCATCTTTGTCTTGCCAAGTCGACCATGCGGCATCGCTTGCCCAGATGGCTCTGGTATTAATAGTTGCACGCTCTCACAATGTTGCTGAGAGCATGAACGCTGAAGCTTATGAGTTTCACCAGCATGTATGTGGCTATTTTGTTTACCACTATTGTCAGATTTTCCTCGCCCACACAACATATTTGCAGCTTTTGCGCTTCCACGTGAGTTTGGAGTTTTTTGAGCATTGGACTTACCCCCCAGACCACCACTCATGGATTTATTCCCAGCCAACACTGGTGTGGCAACCCCATGTCGGGTTGATCGAACTTGCCCCCTCTCTACTCAGTGGAGGTTTTGGGGATAATTTACATAGAGGATTCTGATGATTCATGCCCCCTTTGGTGGCATTAGATTTTTTCACGTGGTCACCACCTCCATCTTGAGTAGTGTTTGTGGTGATCCTAGTATGATTTTTCCTAGAATGGGGTGGATGTGGCAAACTTATTTGCCACTTACGGTGTTGTTTTTTCTTTCAAGCGGCCATGCGGTGGGATCTCATGCCCCCCTAGCGGCTTAGATTGAACAATGTTGTAAAATTTGTCATCTTTCAAGATATCACTCTTGTTCATCCTAATTTTCTGAAACTTATTATAAACACGTTTAAATTTTGTTCTTTGTTGTGGCTTTCGCAAGACAGCTCTAACTTTTCTGTCCTTCAAAACAATAGTGTTCACAAGAGAACCAACATGGGATTTGTTGGCCCCTAACGATACTGTTTTAGCCACAGGTTTAAGTGAATCCTTATTGGCAATACCGGAAACATGATCATCTATCATCTCAAAAAATTTATCCATATGTCTTCCAAGAGAATCACAAGGCTTATTTAAAGAGATAAAATAGAGATTTAACTGCCGGTAATACTCCTCTACAGATCGACAAAGAGACAAGATTACATCATGCCCATCGATGCTCGACATGGATTGGGGCCACTCTTTCATCCAACCGATATGTCTATCTGCCTCATCTGCTCGACCAACTTCAATGCCAACCACACGCTCCACCTTCACAGATTCTTGTGGAAGATCAACGTTGTGTTTTCCATGCCGCAGAGCCATATTTCACTTCAAACACACGCGTCCCACCAGGTGTGCCAAATTGTTTCCCGAGAAAACCAAATACCACCGGCGATGGCAAATTTGGTTTCCGGCGATGTTGATTTGATGTTTCGCGATGGAAACTCTTGCGGTGTCGTTTGATTGGATGCACCGCTGATCCCTGAAATCGAGACGACCGTCAAATATCCATCGGGCGGTGTTGATTTGATCGATGCACCTCTAAATGGTGAAATCAACGTGACCGTCAAATATCTAGCGCCGGGCGATGTTGATCTGATCGATGCACCTCTGACTTCTAACCAGCGTGACCGTTACCACGGTTCGCACCTCTCCAAACTACATTCGAACGAGGGTGTTTGAGTTTTTTGAGGAATCTACGCTACCGCTACTCCTATGGAGATTCCTGAGGAGAGCTCCGCGACTACGACTAAGACTACAACTATGGAGATCCTTCCTGGAAGGAGAGCTCCGCGAAGGAGTTACAGAGAAAAAAGGTAAAGTTTGAATAGATGTGTTTCTGTGTTGATTTGGTACCCTTTTCTCTCTCCTTGCTCCACTGCTTTTATTCGAAAACTGCTTCGTAGTCTTCACGCTCGGTGGAACCGCTTCCTCAACTGCTCCGTTGTGAACCCCCACGTGTCTCAACCGTCTTGATCTCCTCCTCGCTCTAGTTGGTGTGAGTCTCACACGATGTCGTTTTCTTCTCCCAACAGCTCTGTTTGGCTTTTTACTTCGCGACATTGTTTTATATTAAACACTGTCGTTTTAACTACCGCGACATTGTTGAGCTTACTCGCGGTATCGTTTTACCCCATCTGCGATGTCGTTTGTCTCCACGCGGTATCGCTTCTCCCCTTTCGACAAGGAATAAAAAAACTCCTTTTCCAACAGCAACACTAACAGTGCGGCCCATATCAAGTGTCGCGGTATCGCTGAGCTTCCTTGCGATATCGTTTTAACTCTCTGCGATGCCACTCAACTCCAAACGACACCGTTTTTTACCCGCGGTATCGAATTAAATGGCGAGACTAATTAATGCGGTATTTAATTGAATCAAAAATAATTTTAGGTGTAAACACTGGTAGAAAAGACTATACACAGAAAAATTATGATGTGTTTGAGCGTTTTTTAACACTGTGACGAGTGACTTTCTTTTTTTAGTTTCCCTTTTGCTTCAATCCATCGTGTTATTGGTAGATTGTTAACATTGAAATAATTTATATACGAAGGTAATATACCTTTCACATATTCAAACTAAAAGGGTTTAAATGGATCAGATCATTAATTCTTGGGATTTTTTCAGAAATAACACTGTTTAAAAATAAAATTTCAAAAATTACACCCAACACCGAAAATTTTCAAAAATAGCACCCTTTCCCAAAAATCGTCACCCGTACCAGCGGTTTAGACGAAAACCGCCACCCGTGGCGCGTTTTTCGATGAAAACCGCACTGGTAGGGGCGGTTTTGCAAACCGCACCCCACCATGCGGTTTGTTTGCAGACCGCACCCCCACCAATCGGTCTGTTTTTTTTTTTTTTTTGAAAAATCCTAACCAAGGTGGAAACTTCAAACGAACATATCTTTGTGTTCCGGTATCAGATTGTCGCGATTTTTTTTATTCTGCATAACTTTTTGAGATCTTGCAAGCCGAAGAGTGTCGAAGGTGGATTGGTCCCGCCTTCGTCCCAAAAAATGTCGTTTGCTACCCTGAACGAGCTTATTTCCGATTTCGTCAAACTTTGGACAACCATAACTTTGTACTCCAAAATCCAAACGATATGAATTTTAGTTTATTTCACATGACTTTTTAAGGACTACAATTGTTACTAGGAATGAATTTTCAAAACAGGAATTATTTTTGGATATACAGGATTTTGGGAATAGCTTGGCTTCCCTTTTCAGCAATCCACGTACATTTCGAAACTATGTCTATCATAAAAGTTGTATTCCTTAAAAAAATTTATGCGAAATAAAAAAAAAATCATGTCGTTTGGATTTTGGAGTACAAAGTTATGGTTGTCCAAAGTTTGACGAAATCGGAAATAAACTCGTTCGGGGTAGCAAACGACATTTTTTGGGATGAAGGCGAGACCAAACCACCTTCGACAGTCTTTGGCTTGCAAGATCTAAAAAAGTTATGCAGAATAAAAAAAAATCACGACGATCGGATATCCGAACACAAAGATATGTTCGTTTGAAGTTTCCACCTAGGTTAGGATCTTTCAAAAAAAAAAAAACAGACCGCATGGTGGGGGTGCGGTCTGCAAAACCGCCCCCTACCAGTACGGTTTTCATCGAAAAACGCCCCCCTGAGTGGCGGTTTTCGCCTAAACCACTGGTATGGGTGACGGTTTTTGGAAAAGGGTACAATTTTTTGAAATTTTTGAAATTGGATACTATTTTTGGAATTCTTTTTATTTCCGATTTTGTCAAACTTTGGACAACCATAACTTTGTACTCCAAAATCCAAACGATATGATTTTTTTTTTAATTTCGGATGACTTTTTAAGAACTACACTAGAGAAACCGAGTCTGACAACTTTCTGTCTTACCCCTAGGAATTTAAGTTTGGGCTTCATCATCGAATTTCTTTTTACTATCTTTGAAGGAAAATGGGCTTCACGGCCCAGGCTCAACTGAAATATTCATGAGGCGAATCCTTCCTACCGCAGCCCACCGTCTTAGTACACTCCCCATTGTTATCTGTCCCCCAAAAACATTCCACGCGCTATTATTCTCTCTGCTCTGTCTCCACTGTCCACTCCAAACTAAATTCATTAGTAATGTTTTTGTTTCTAAAAACAATCTGTCACTACTCACTAAACTATCAATTTTCGCCGACTAATCTCTCATCAGTCTCCGCTGGAGCTCACGAACACGAAGCTCCCTCGCCATTTTCCGCCTTCCCCTTCACTGCCCCTATTCCCATAAAACCCATCTTGCTCCCTCCTCCACCTGAACAAGCTTCTCTCTGCTTCACCCAGCTTTCCCATTCATTCCCATTACCCCAAACAAAACCCAAAAAATGCATGCCAAAACCGACTCCGAGGTGACCAGCTTGGCGCCGTCGTCGCCGACCAGATCTCCCCGCCGCCCGGCCTACTTCGTCCAGAGCCCCTCCCCCGACTCCCACGATGGCGACAAGACCACGACGTCGTTTCACTCCACCCCGGTCGTCAGCCCCGTCGCCTCCCCGCCTCACTCCCACTCCTCCGTCGGCCACCACTCCCGGGAATCCTCCTCCACCCGATTCTCCGGCTCGCTCAAGCCCGGATCTAGGAAGATCTCTCCCAACGACGCCTCCGGAGGCCGCGGCGGGCACCTGAAGGGGAATCAGAAGCAGTGGAAAGAAGTCGATGTGATTGAGGAAGAAGGGCTGCTCGAAGACGAAGAGCGGCGCAGGGGAATCCCTCGCCGCTGCTATGTCCTTGCTTTTGTTATGGGGTTCTTCGTTCTCTTCTCTTTCTTCTCTCTGATTCTCTGGGGAGCTAGCAGACCCCAGAAGCCCAAGATCACAATGAAGGTACTAAAAGCTCTAATTTCAATTCAGTTTTCCCCCAAATTTAGAGATGTAATTTCCAATTGGGTAGCTCTGTTTGGGGTTTAATTAATATATTTTGCAGTGCATTAAGTTCGAGCATTTCAACATCCAAGCCGGCTCCGACGCCTCTGGAGTAGCTACTGATATTATCACAGTGAACTCCATCGTCCGAATGATCTACCGCAACACCGGGACTTTCTTCGGCGTCCACGTGACCTCGACGCCTCTGGATCTATCCTACTCGCAACTCGCAATTGCCACCGGAGCGGTAAGCTATAATCTCTGCTGAACTTTATCAATCCGTGGGAAACTTTATCGGAATTAAGTGTGTTAATCGGTCAACACGGTGAATTTTGCAGGTGAAACGGTTTTATTAGAAGAGGAGTAGCCAGAGGTCAGTGGCGATATCCATCGCCGGCGACAAGATCCCAATGTACGGTAGCGGGGCAGGGCTGAGCAGCACGGCCACTGGGAAGCCGTTGTTGCCGGTCCACCTGACGCTGAACTTCACCGTCCGGTCCAAAGCTTACGTTCTGGGCAAACTGGTGAAGCCGAGATTCTACAAGACGATTGGGTGCGACATCACGTTCAATCCAAACAAGGCCAACGCCACGATCTCGCTCAAGCATGCCTGCACTTACGATTGATGGATCGATTCGTGGATCTGAAGAGGGACTGTGGAAGAGTTGAGGGACCTTTTTTGTAATTTGGCAATCGTAATTAGTTATTCTTTGCTGCGTGTTAGCTGAGGGGAGTAAGTGAGGAAGGAAAGTGAGAATAATGAGATGACAGCTCACGGGGCAGGTGGACGGGCAGGCTGTGAGGAACACGCTGAGATTGGACTTTTTGCTTTATACGGTGCTGCCCGGTTGACCGAAGAAGAGTGGAGGAAAAGGAAAACGTTGGATTCGTTTGGCGGTGGTGGTGACTTGTGCGAGTCACCATACAGAAAAAGAAAAAACAAACCTTTATTCTATTTAACTTTGATTTATTTCTATTTCCTACTTGTTCCCTACCTATATATATATATATATTCACGTAAATTTCATGGAAACAATAATTTTGCAAACAGAGTCAGTACTTAAAGTCTATTTATGTAATATATTTTTTATTTTTCCGCTGCATTTCTAACGGATAAGTGACGGAAGAACAAGCGATAAATTTAAAAATTGGAGATGTAAATTGCATGGGTGATTGATTAATAATGTGGATACGATACACCCTGTGTTTAGTGGAAGTTGTTATCATGTGATATTATCTATCATCCAAGTGTGACCAACGAATATGAAGCTGATTTGGGCTGATATAGCAGTTGAACTTGTTGATGGTGACCAATCAAGCTTCTATTCGGTGATGGTTCGCAATATCATGATGACGTCTCTCATACAAACATTAGAAAAACTACAAAATATTGTGGGGTAGAAATGGCTGCCAATTAAATTTGCACGGCACGCATGATCTTTACATTCAAGTGTGAATGTAGTTATATGAATACGACTAATGTATATGTAATTAGGGGAAACCACGTTTGAGCCCTTTTGTCATCGAGTACTTGCATTCATTTCTAACCTCGTGACAGTGAACCATGTTTTTTTATTATTAAAGATTAATGTAGTTAAAAGCGTTATTTTATGTAGAACTATTTTAGTGTTCTAAAATTGAAAAATTGTAAATTTTTAATATTTAAAATAAAATTTTGACTATATTGCCCAAGATAAATCCAGATGGCTTGACCAAGAAATACACTAATACAAACAAAAATTGAACGCAGTAGGCTGTATGGCTGGAAAAATAGATCGGACCATTTAAAAAAATATGGACCAAACTGCATCGCATAGTTCAATTTTGTACAGACCGTAGACCATTAAGAATAATCTAATCTAGTTTATGGTTTATATTATAGGATGTATTGACCTCTTAGTGTGCTCTGCTCTGGTCCACATCATGGTTTTCCATACTAAACTATGGACCTAGCCACTACCCCATTCGTGATAGCAGCTCACTCGACCAGCTGAAGACACAACAACGGTAAGTTTGTATGACCTTCCCGCCTTCAACACTCCCTGCAAAAATAAAGTGTTGCTTGAAAACATAGTACATATGCAGAAAAAAGGAGCACAACGCAGAGATGACACAATATTTTTTGTTAACCGGGTTCAATCTATTGATTATTTCTCGGCTCAAAGGTGTATGCCCTTTGAGACCTAGTTTTTCTAGGGGTCGTTTGGATCCAGAAATGTGGGCAGGGATTTGGCCCTAATCCTGGCCCGTCCAGGAATTTAAACCATTCTCCTGTTTGGATAGCTAAAAAAAAGGGCGAGATTTGGGCCTCCAGGTTTTTTAAATTCGGCCCAACCCGGAATTTGAAATAGCTGCCAGACCTCAGGTATTTTAAAATTCCGCCCCAATTTTTTTTATTCTTCCAAGCGTGTCCCTGCGTGGCTGCGAGAGAGACGACCGACGACGACATGTCCCGACTCATCTCCTTTCTCCTCCGACGACGTGTCCCGACGAACACATCCTCCTCCACCGCCGCCCTCAACTCATCTTCTTTATCCTCTTCCTCTGCCGCACTATGCTTTTCTTCCCCTGCGCCAGTCAACAGGGAATTCAGATCTGGAACCCGAATTTAGATCTGCGACCGCCCACGACGAGACTAGCAAGGAATACGGAGGCTCGTGAGGTCGCCCGAGGACGGAGAAGAAGACAAATATGATTTTCCAGTTCTGGGTTCTTCTATGGAGCTCTGGGTCTTCCTTTCTTCTGGCGGATCTTGGTTTGCAAGAGCCTAGATCCACTGTCATCTCATCGTCGTCGTTGCCACTGAAAATCCTAGATCAGGGAGCGGGTGATGGTTGGGACGACGTAGATTATGGCTACGGCGCCGAAGATGATGAAGAAGATGGATTTGCAGCAGTCGCGCTGCCAGGGTTGTGATTTGGCTATTTGGGGTTGTGCGGTTTGTGGATTTCGTATGCGCCGGCGTCGGGGATAGTGATGGCGATGGCGATGATGGTGAGTTGAGACATTGAGAAGCAGGCGAAAACCGACGATTGGAAGGTGTGGAATGGGATCGGAACTTGGGTAAAGGGAAGTTAATAAAAAAGTGAGAACAAAATGGGAAAGTGAGGGTTGGGCGGCGATGGTGTCTCCATCGCAGAGGTAGAGAAGTGGGTTAGGAAGAAAAAGTGCCAAAAGGGTAAATGAGTATTTTGCTATTTGTCAATAAAGACAAATTTCTTGATTGATGAAATTCTTAGCAGTAAACAAACAGATAAATTGGTCAAATTCCTTGTTTAAAATCTCTGGTTTTCTATAAGAGGGAATTAAGTCCAAATCCCTTGTTTAAATATTTCCCCATCCAAACGACCCCCTAGTGTTTTTCTTATTTATCAAGCTAACCCCAAGTTGAATTCTTTTGGTGGAATTCAAACGCTTTTATAATTGCATAACCAAAATCAAAGGATCTCTCTTCCTCACAAGCTATTAGCTAAAAAGAGTTTCTACTTGCTACACCAACTCAAGCAATCTAAGTGTTATACTCTCACTCGCTGTCCTCTATCATCCTACCTTTTTACTTTACGCATTGAACGTCTGAGCCAATGCATTCTGAAAGAGTGTAGGGAAGGGAATAGGAAACCTGTCATTTTTTTCTTCTAATGTTCTTGCTTTAATCCAGCTTTTTTTCGCTGATGATCTTGTGCTTTTCTCTCATGCCTGCCCTGACCAAGCTAATGATGTCTTAACTACCTTGGTTCGTTTTGCTTAGCCTCTGGTGAATTTGTTAGTAAAGAAAAATCTTGTGTTTTTTTCCCCTAAAAATGTTAGAACCAATACTAGGCAGAATATCTGTGCTAAGCTTGGAATACAGGAAACAAATGATCTTGGTAAGTATCTTGGTGTTCCTACTATTCATGGGAGGATCACTAGGAATACCTACAGGTACATTCTCGATAGAATTGATAGAAGCTTACATCATGGAAGGCTAGAACCCTATCCCTTGTTGGCAGGGTCACTCTTGCCACCTCGGTTTTGAATGTTATTCCCACCTATGTCATGCAGACAACCCCTATCCCCTTGAGTGTGTGTGATGGTATTGATAAGAAAATTCGTGGTTTTGTTTCGGGATCTCAGGAGGGGAAAAGAAAAGCTCACCTTGTGTCTTGGAAGCAAATTTGTAAACCTAAGAAGCTGGGGGTTTTGGGGCTTAGATATGCGTGCAGCCTTAACAAAGCATATATGATCAAACTTGCTTGGAATATTTTCAACAATGAACTATTATCTTTGATTGCAGGTGCATAACCACCTAACCCTGAGCTCGGAGAGGACAAAATGTCACGGGGGCTTGAATGTGATGGAAGATTTTGACTAAAGTTTGCTTATGCTCTTGCTGCCAATCTTGAGGGGTAAGATGAGATGCAGAAGTGGAATAACCACTGGAAGGGGAGGGGGCCAAGCAGAATCAAGCATTTTCTCTGGCTGATCCTCTATTTAGGCTCTTCACCAACAAAGAACGAACAAGATGAGGCATCTTAAATATTGCTAACTGTAACTTTTCTTTATCCTCTGTAGAAATGAAAAGATTGGTTCAACAGGTTTTACTTGGACATCTTTGCCTCTTTGGTAAATTATACGGGGCATATGAGATGGGGGAATTAAGTTTTCGGTGTGTGTGGTTGGGTACAAACAGGAGACAATCAATCTAAAATGCATCCGTGAGGTGAATTGCAAGTTTGGTCACTCATATTATCTATTTGTAACAAGTTAGCCACTCAAATCACTTTCGCTTCAATTTAGCCACTGATAGTACTCGTTTATATCATCTTTGGTCACTCGCCGTCTAGTTCCGTTAAATTTGTCCTATGTGGTGGTCAATGGTTAAGTTTGACTGTTAAAATGCTAACATGGTAAAGTATTCGAGCCCCATTAGAAACTTGTAAAGTATCCGAGCCCCATTGACCGTTAAAATGTTGACGCGGCCAATGGTTAGGCACATGTAAGGTATTCGAGAGATGAATTGATGGTTCCTGAACTGTACCAACTTGTAAAGATAAACCATCCACAGACTGAGTATTACGAAGTATAGACCCATTACTCACCATATGATTAAAGCAAGCAGAATCTAAAATCCAAGGCGGAAGCTTACCAGATATTTGAAGACTAGTAAACACAGATGCGATTGCTTTACTCGTTAGCTTTTCAAGGTTGTCCGCAGAGATGATGGGGCTGTCGGCGGGCAGGGCTGGAGTCGCGGCGTAGGCTGGAGCCTGGCGACGGTGAGGAGGACCAGACGAAGACCCAGGGGCGCTGCCAGCTAAGCTGCCCTCTCTAATCCGACCTTAAAGCACCGGGCAATCAGGTATGATATGTCCTGATTTCTTGCAATACACACAAAAGTTCATGGTCTGCAAAATTTTTGTGTATGACCTTTACGACGACAAAAAGGGCATTCAACCTCCCTAGATGAGACGCGATGTTGGAATTGGCCCCGACCAGTAGCATAAACAGTGGCATTAGGCTCGGAAGATTCGTCCGCCACATCCTCCTTGAGGGAGAACTCGCGCTGTCCACCACTTGCACGTTGGCTGCTTCCCCGTTCAGGTGCAAAGAAGACGTCGTCGTGACCAGGGCAACTATCAAGGGAGGCCAGCGTGCGCAGGCGTGTTTCTTCCCACACCAAATAGCTGAGAACTTTGGCTGTCTTTAGGGACTCCCGATTCAGCAGCGTTGCACGGACCGGCTCGAAGGAAGGATGAAGGCGCATGAGAAACTGGTACAAGCGGGTCCTCTCCAGCGCCGATTGCATCTCAGCGGAGACAGGTTGGGATTGAAGCGAGGCCGTCACCAAATTCTGCTCGATCCAGAGCTGACGCGCGACATTGAAATAAGATGCTACATCTCGATCGCCTTGTTGAAGCTGGGAGAGTTCGACTTCAATTTCATATTGTCGAGCGGCGGTGGCGGTGACATACTTTTCGGTTAGCTGCTTCCACATCGCAGCAGCCGTGGGTAGGAGACGGAGTCCCAGCACTATGGTGGGATCAACGGAATTCAAAATGAAAGTCTTGACTTTGGCATCCTCCAGGTGCCACTTCCGCAAGGCTTCAGCTGTTCCAGGCGGCAAGGTGGGTTTCGGATCAGAGCCATCAATATGGCCAAGAAACCCTTTTCCTTCAATGTAAATTCGAAACTGGAATTCCCAAAGAGCATAATTCTTTGAGGTAAATCGTACGGAGATATGATCAGAATCCATAGCAAGCTCTGATACCATGTAACGAAACGAAACTGAATCGAAAATGGAATGCGAAACTGACACAGAGGTTTACGTGGTTTCCTCGTTCAGGATGAACGAGACTAGTCCACGGCTGAAGCAAGTACACTCTCTTATTTTCTTAAATCGGCATATAGAGTACAAGTAATATATATATGTTTCATAACCCAAAACCCTACTTCACAAACCCTAACTCCTGTACGTATATGGACATATATACATGGGCCTCATATTGCGGTGGGCCTATATGAATCAACGCGATTAAGGCTTATATGTCAACTTGCTTATACAACGACCTTTGCTCCACAATCACCAACCTCATCATCGTGAACCAACATAGTGGTAGCACTTCCTAGTACACTAGGGTTGGCTTCTTCATTAAATTGATAATCTTATATATATACTCTCTGCAAAACTCTACACACAAGTAAGTTACCAAACCCTTTTGACTAATGGGTATAACGGGTACCCGTAATACCCAAACGGGTATTAACAGGTAACCCGCGGGTAACCAAAGTGGTGATTGTTGATCTAAAGTCTCATCCCATAAAAAACATTTACGAGTATTTGTTATTTGGGTACCCGTAACCCTCAAAAAATGAGACGAGTATGGATATACCCAAATACTCATTTTCGTTGCCCACCCCTACCTTCTGGGTTCTAGGGGTGTTCAAATGGTTACCATGGGAATAACCAAACCAATTAAGTCTAAAATTCATTAACCATGGAATAAAATGTCTTAACCAAACCGTCCAAACTAACACGAAAACCAAATTAACCAAACCAAAGTTTTATTGGTTTGGTTAATCGGATAATCGGATTAACCAAATAACATAACATTAATTACATGAAAACAATTGTACTGTTAATGAATAAAACATAATCATAAGTTATTACCATCATAAACTATCATTATATATAAGCAATAATAATAAGACTAACCATCCATGATTATCATCATCATTCGAGTTAATACATCATTCATCATCTCTACACCTAATATAGTTAGCTTACAACAAACCCTTAACATAAATATTAAATACATACCAATACCACTCATCAGGAATTTAAATCTCTCCTACAAAACACTTAAACTATACATAGTTTGATGTCGCTGTCATGGTACTGTACGTAATTCTAAAGTCTAGTAGCTGTCCAAAATGTTTTGGTTTAGTAAATAGGCAGACCCATCTAATTTTTGACCAATAATGCTTTGATTTGTTGTACACATGGAAATAAAATAGGGAATCACGAAAGTTTGGTTTGGTTGGTTGCATGGAAGTATAAACAATTTTGTATATTACGTGTATCATTAATTAGTTAATTGGTTTTATTGGTTAGCAGTATTGAAACCAAACCAAACCACCTAAACCAAATAAGCTAAATTGTTTAACCAAACCAAACCAATTATCCAAATTAACCAAACCAAATTAAACTAATGCTACCGGTTAATATGGTTACCACGGTAACCAATCCGTTTGAACACCAGTGGGTTCCTTTCTTGCCTCCCCACCCACTGACTCACATGCAGTTCCCACTTGTACGTGGGCACCGGGCTGAGCCGCCCACGGGCTAGCACGGCACGACACGGTTAGAGCACGGCACGAGCACGGGCACAAAATAAATGGGCCAGCCCGGCACGAGCACGAATAATTTATGGGTCATG